AAAAAAAAAAAAAAAAATTTTTGTGAAGGTAATAAAACAAAAAAAATTAGAATCTGATCAGTACTTACCGAGATACAGTGCCAAGAAGTTTGTAGAAAATGAGTGGTGGCGGCAACATCGACGAATTCCCCACATACCGTATTATATTATTTTGTTTTTTGTTTAGTTTTTTTTTTTTCTTTTTTTTTCCAAATTTTTTCTATTCCTACTAACATTTGGGGCCGAGAGACCAATACTGTTATATAATTGATATATATAAAACTCACTATTGAACACAATAACCGCACTAAAGTTATTATCAAAATTATTTTTTAAACCACTGTTGTTTATTACAATAAACATGCACAAAATTGTATAATATAATGTTCTATCATATATTTACATATTTACAACCCACGGGACAGGGTTTTTTAGAACTGCGGAGCTTGTGGAAACTCCTTGAAACAAGGCACCATGCACAGAGGGCACCTTACATCCTCACACATAAACCGAGTGTCTTTGCGTCTTTGTTGCCGTCGTTTTGTTTGTGCCAGACAATGCATCTCTTCTGAGCAAATTTCTTTTGAGTGAAGGAAGCTGTATTATGAAATGATCACCTTCTCTTCTCAAACGCTTGGGTATATTTGTGATGAATTCGAGGACCATGTTGTAATTGCAGGTTTTGTTACCTGGTACTTCATTATGATTTGTCTGACAACAGACAAACAAAATTCACCAAAACGGTGGCTGTTACCAGTTTTTAAATTTGGTACATATTATATGCATTCAGCTTTGAAATGTCCATGAGATGGAAAAAAAGTTTCATGTACCACTTGTAACTCTTACGAACACAGTCAACAAAACCAATCTGCATGTCACACTTGTCAACCAAGCGCTGTTTTGTGTATAATCAATCACTGTCACTGGTTTTCGAATACTTTCATTATCACTCAAATCAACTTTGCCACTGTCTTGCATTTCATTACGGTGAATGGTTGTCAACAATGTGACATTCGTTTGTCATGCCACCGTAATGCCATGATGTCATTGGCAGTAAACACCTGCACGTCATCACCACGAACACCCTGCGTTGAGCCTGGGCATTGTTTACGATTAAAAACGCACTGTGCCACACACATCTGTCTTGTTCACTCGCATGAAATCACTGGATAATGGCTTGTGTACCAGTTATCGGTATATAATGTATGCCCTTACCAAGATAAGGTGCCATCATGTTTCTCACTATGTCACCTGATATACCCAATAACATCTTGGTATCTTTCAATGTTTTACTACCCGTGTATACAACAATATCCAACACCAGCCCACTGTCACAATCACAGAGTACAAACAATTTTACCAAAGCGGTTCCTCTTGCTCGTATATACTGCTTGAATGACAGCCCTAACCTTTGAACAAAATCAAAGACTCGTCAATTACAAGATTCTTGAATGGATAAAAGTATATCCTGAACTTTTTTTTGGGAGATACATGAAAACATTTCTAATCTTGATAACCTGTCACTTCTGTCAGGCCGGGTTTTGTCAGAGAAGTGCAACATACGTAACATAAGAAAAACCTGTTCACTGGTATTATTTCACTGAAGGAGGGGGTAGAAATTAAAGCCGATCTGTGGACCAGTATGCTTTTTATATTATGCTTATAGACGTGAGGCATAAGCATTATTGTTGCAAAAAGCAAAATACATTTTCTGCAACAGTCATCTCTTTCCACCTGTGTAGTCTTGACTGTGGTGAAAGACGTTTTGCCATGGTGTACTGAAAATACTTATTACTTTCCCTGACAATAATTTCCATCAAGGGCTGGTCAAAGAAAAATTCAAAGAATTCCAGTTCATTGGCCGTGGTTCCAAGGGGACAGGTAGGTAGAATTTCCACTTTGCGAGTCATCAAAGTGGTGAGGCTGGGAAAACAAAATTGGGATTTTGCTCCCAAATCCCAGTTCGGTTTGGGGTGGATACTGGACATCATAGGCTGGTTGTACGGGTGGTTGTGGCGGCTGGGGGGTTGACGCTCCGCTTTGTCCTTGAACTGACGAGTCAGCAGCGTGGTTCCCGCGTGGCACAGCGAGTCACTCATGGCGTGCCACTACCACCAAACCCGCCCCACTAACACCATCCACTGATGTCTGTGGCCCATCCATGCCAAGTGTAGCCACATCATCCTCACAAACACACTACCTAAAACGGGTGTAGGGCCACGGGGTGTACTCCGGGATGTACTCCGGATGAACTCCGTCCCCTGGGGACAGCATAGGGTACACTACCCGACCCATGCGGCGGCGAAAAATACCGACGCTTCACTGGGGAATATGTTTTCCTCACTATCACTACTCGAATGATCGTCGAGCGCAATAAAATCACAATCCACGTCAGAATCATCGTCATTTCTGAAGTCCAGAGGCCAGGCCACGGAAAATATTAGTTTTCTCTTACGTTTTTGGAACACCCGACCGTGAGTCACGAGTGCCCACACCAGAGGTAGAAGGTCGAGGATCGTCGGGTTTTCTGCACTATTATCGATATCCTGTCATTATTTTCGTCACTAACTTATCAAAGCCTAGAAATTTGTCTTCATTTCCACTTCCATCAGTGTCAGAAACTTTCAGACAGGAAGAGGAGATTTCCCAATTTCCGGGGAGTGAGAGCTGACTTGCGACGAGACATGGTGAACAAGGGTGACTGAGCCGGCGTTCCCAAAAATCTATGCAGGCGCCTAGATTTTTTGTTTATGCGCACACCCACGGCGCAGACCCATTCTCTCATATGTAAGGCCTATGAGCGCTTTTTTGCGCTAAATTTGACGGGGCTAGAATTTTGGCGTAGAAACTACGGTTTGGACACTCACCGACCAGCCGTAGATCTACGGGACGGACCCGAAAGGGTTAATATATTTATAGAGGTTGTAAAAGAAGTAAATGCTAGGGTGCTCGGGAGAGGGGTGGGGTTAAATTATGGGGAATCAAATACAGAATGGGAATTGACATACAGGAAGGCCCCACTTATACGGCTGGTAGGTTCCAGGCTACCGCCGTAAAGCGGAAAATGCCGTAAAGTGGAACAACCCTTTTTTCCACTTACAAATGCATACAAACACTAGTTTAAAAAGTTTACCACTAACATATATTAAGTTTTGCAATAGAACCAGGCATCAAAAAACAATAAAAAAGTACAAAACACACAAAGTGCACTCATTATTACCTTAAAATATTATAGTCTTAATCTAAGGTGAGACCCAAATATATTTATTGTAAGAAATCAAGTGTTGTATGTATGGTAGTCAGCCAGGCAACCATACCAGGCCACCCCACCCACACAACAATTCTATGATATTTAAGCATCCCAGAGCGATAAAATGTATATACAGTTCACTCATTACTTTTCCTTAAAATATAGGGTGAGATTGAGTATATTTATTGTAAAAAGTCAAGTTTTGGTATGTTTGGTATCAGCCGGCTACCATACCCGGCCAACCCACCTACACATAATATTCTTTACATTTAAGCATCCCAGACGATAAAATGTATATACAGTTCACCATTACTTACCTTAAAATATTTGTAGTCTTAATGTAGGGTCAGGATAAGTAAATGAGATAAACGAAAAATGAGAGAGAGAAAGAATGAGTGCATGAGAGAGGACAGGCGCAGAGTTATTGTAAACAAACCAGGCGAAGGTAAGTTTGTAAACGAAGTGTCACGTCTGGTTTGTGTACAAGTTACATTGTTACAGGTTGTTCTACATTGATACGTAGAATAAATAAAGAAGAACACTTTCCCCTTCTCATGTAACATCATTTTGAGAAGAAATGATGCTCTGATGAAGGCAATGGAAATAAGTCACCTGACTTTTTGGGGTTTTCCTAGGTTCTCTACACATAAAGTTGTTATGTATGATAATCTATGTAAAATGTATTTGTGTATACCTGAATAAACTTACTTACATACATACGAAAGGAATAATTTTCTACAGTTACCCCCAGTAACACATTTTCTCTTATGTTAGATTAGAGAAAATGTTATTCTTGGCATCACTTGTACAAGTTATCTGGCTACCACATCTCATATTTATGTTTATTTATTCTATTGTAGGGTGTATTTATCATCTTTTATGTTATGTATCGTGTTTATTATATAATTTTGAAAAAAAAATATCATGGATGGATTAATGAAAATGTGTATATTAACGTAATAACAACATTTAATGAGACTCGGTGATTATTATTATTATTATTATTAGCATTTCTAATATGGCGTCACTTGTGCAAGTCGTCTGCTACCACATCTCATATTTATGTTTATTTATTCTATTGTGGGGTGTATTTATCATCTTTTTATGTTATGTATCGTGTTTATTATATAATTTTGAAAAAATATCATAGATGGATTAATGAAAATGTGTATTTAAACGTAATATACGACATTTAAATGAGACTCGATGATTATTATTATCATTACTAATATGACGTCTGGAGACATGAGACACTCTTACTGATTTTAATGTGTACCTGCACGCCAGCACAGTATGTAAGTTTATTTAAGTACAGGTATACATAAGTATAATTATCAGAGTATATATAAAATATGAAATAACTTTTAAAAACATTTGAAATTTTGGAGTTTCCAGACAAAATGGAGAGACTTAGTGCTTACTGAGCTCACGAAGAATGTAAACAAACAAGGTGGGGCGCGGTGACCATATTAGAAAGTCAGGTGGGGGAGCCGTATAGCGAGTTTTGGTCATAATTTGAAATGACCGTATTAGCGGAACGCCGTAAAGTGAAACGCCGTAAAGCGGGGCCCTGCTGTAGTTACTTTTTGCTGATGATACTGTGCTTATGGGAGATTCTGAAGAAAAATTGCAAAGGTTAGTGGACGAGTTTAGGAGTGTGTGTAAAGGTAGAAAGTTGAAAGTGAACATAGAAAACTTAATAATTTATATTAAAAAAATATTTTATTTACATTGCTGCTTTTGCATTCAAGTCATCCTTTGTATTTGGCAGCATTTGCGGCAAGTTGGTGTTGTTGGAAAGTTTGTAGAGTTCTACGGTCCAGGGGTGAAACAGTTGTCCCTGGCTGATCGTGCCACCATCTCCAACATGTGTCCAGAGTATGGTGCAACAATTGGTTTTTTCCCAGTTGATGACACGACGATCAACTACCTAAGACAGAGCAGTAAGCATTTTCGAGACTTTTTAACAGTTCAGTCATCAGTTAGTTTTAAAGACTTTCAAATATATATTTTGTTGGGTTTGATGTTCTGTAATGTGACATAGAACCTCTTCTTATACTTTCATAGAGCATTTAGCAATTTTTTAAAAATGTATTAAGTACATACATAACTCATATTGATTTCCCTTTTGCTGCATAAAAAAAAGGGTTTTGTTTAAATTTGAATTTCCCTTGCTTAAGGGGGAAAGCTGCTGCGGGTTAATTGCAGTTTTAAATATTCACATATGGCAGATACGTTTTACCGGGCCCACCCTCGGGCAAGCCCGGATGGTGGAAAAAGGGATGGAAAAAAATGTTTTTTTTTTTAAATCCCCCCAGCCCTGGTGGGAGATGGCCAGTGCCTTAAAAAAGAGGAAGGGTCTTTCTGTGCAAAAACCCCTTTGAAAGAAATTTATTTATTTATACACTAATACATTTGAAAAAAGTAATGGCGGGCATTCCCCATTTTTTTTTTCCTCTTTCAGATCTTTTAAAGGGAAAACCCAAAATTGCAAAAAAATTGAAGTTTAACCTTTAAAGCAAAAAAAATGTACAGGAATTTTAAAGATTTCTCGCAGGTTTCCTTCTTCAGTGAGGTAAATTTGAAATATTGTAGAATATCAATCAGAGTGTTGCTTTGTAAAATAAAAAATCATAAGGGAATAGAGGTCTGTGTAATCATAGTGTAATAGAGGTACTGTCACCCCCCCCCTGCCTACAGGTGGGTGGGCACAGTAGAAATTTTAAAGGCAACTGAGGGCCACAGTATGGCACCTAAGAGATTAGTGATAACACCCAAACCCCAAAAATAAAATTGGTTGGGAAAAAATTTTTGTTTGGCACTTAAAACAGCCTTCTGGAATAAATTTTAAGTTAAAGGGTCCCCAGGTTCCCCCCTGTTTTTAAAAAAAAAAAAAAATTTTGTAATCCTCATTGAAGCATGGAAATAATCACATTGACAAATTAGGTTATCCTAAATTTAAAACTCATAGTGTCTTTTTGGACGAATTTTCCCCTGTTTTGGGAAAGAATAAGTCTTTTTTCGTCTGTTGCACACCCTGTGGTTTTTTTGGGAAGATATTGGTGAACAAAAAAGGGTTTTTTTGGGTTTTATTGTTTTTTCTTAAGGCCCGTTTGGCAGTGTTTTCCCCTGATGCTCTGTGTAAAAACCTGTCTTTTTATTAATTTTATCAAAAAGTAAAGAAGACTGGGAGACCTAAAAAGTTATGCTGAGGTCAAAAATATTGCAGGTGGAGTTTTTTAAGACCGGAAAAAATTTTTCATGCTAATAAAGTAAAAGGGTGTAAAAGTTTAACTTTTTAATGTAGTGAATTCCCAAAAAAAAAAGTGAAAAAAAAATTTTGTGTGGGGTTTTTCAGTACAGTCAGGTTTTAAAACCATTTTTTCCCCCCTTTAAAACCCAATTTTTTTTTTATAACAAATAACAAAACCCTTTGTCCCTTTTCTAACTTCCCCAGTTAAAATTTTTAAAACTTTTTAAAAAAAAAATAGGTATTTGCTTTCTAGAAACGTTAAAAAACTTTTATTTAAGGATAAGGGGGCTCCCGTTTAGGTTTTATAAGAAATAGGGGGATAACTTTTCCCGTAAAAATAGGGTTTTGACAGGGATAGGATGTCACCATGAGTGTTTAACAAGGATTTGATAGGGTATAAATGAAGTGGGAAACCAAAGGAATTTTCTGGGGGAAAAGGGGTGGAATTAAAAGATAGAGAATCAAATGCAAATTTGGGAGTTTTTTCCCGTTTTCTTTTTGCAGATAACACATTACTTTTGGGACTTTTGTTTTTAAATTTTAGTTCTTTTTTTCCTTTTGACAACAGGGGGAACCCCTTTGGGTTTGGCCCCATGTATCCCTTCCCCGTCTGGGCCTAAAAAAGACCTCAGGGCAGAGTATTTTTCTTCCATGAAACATTTTCATTTAGTGCCTTAAATAAAAAAGGTGGGGCAGTATTTTTTTTTAAAATGTTTAAAAATTTTAATAAGTTTTCATTTCTTTTTTGTAAATTTTTTTCACAAGTCCTTTGCCATTAAAAAATGACTTTCAAACCCGTTCTGGAAAAAAAATAAGGTTTAAATGCAAAACTGTTTTAAAAATTCTAGTACTTTCAGAGATTAAAACATGAAAAATTTTTGTACCAATTTTCCCATTGCAGTACTGTTTTCAGTGGTACGTGGCCCTATAATTATCTCTTCATACCAACTTCATTTGGGAAAATGGAGAGGATTATTTTAAGAGTTTTAAATGTTTTTGATGAAAGGTAGGTAGGGATTTCATGCATGGGACATGGAGGAATAGGATATGTTGGCAGGGAAGAGCCAGAGGAGAGTGGAGGGAGTGAGTGAGGCAGTAGGTAGAATATGGGGTAAATCAGCTAGGATAAATTGGAATAGGACTGAGATGCAAAATCCAATAGGTATGTTTGATAATTGCATGAAAGAAGGTAAAGTAAACAATGATGGGCACAAAGCCTACATAGTTTTTTTTTTTTTTTTTTAACAAGTTGGCCGTCTCCCACCGAGGCAGGGTGACCCAAAAAGAAACAAAAAATCCCCAAAAAGAAAATACTTTCATCATCATACAACACTTTCACCTCACTCATACATAATCATTGTTTTTGAAGAGGTGCCCAGAACACAACGGTTTAGAAGCATATACGTACGTATAAAGATACACAACTGCCAATGCATTGTACTTCCCATTTCCAGTACTCAAGTCCGGCTATATAAAATAACCGGTTTCCCTGAATCCCTTCGCTAAATATTACCCTGCTCACACTCCAACAGCTCATCAGGTCCCAGATACCATTTGTCTCCATTCACTCCTATCTAACACACTCATGCATGCATGCTTGCTGGAAGTCCAAGCCCCTCGCCCACAAAACCTCCTTTACCCCCTCCCTACAACCTTTTCAAGGATGACCCCTACCCCGCCTCCTTCCCCTACAGATTTATATGCTCTCATGTCATTCTACTTTGATCCATTCTCTCTAAATGACCGAACCACCTCAACAACCCCTCTTCGGCCCTCTTGACTAATACTTTTATTAACTCCACACCTTCTAATTTCCACATTCCGAATTCTCTGTATAATATTTACACCACACATTGCCCTTAGACAGGACATCACCACCCAGGGAGGTACTACCATCCTGCCAAGTGAGTGTAAAATGAGAGATTGTAATTGTTTTACATGATGGTAGGATTGCTGGTGTGTTTTGTCTGTCTCATAAATATGCAAGGTTACAGGTACGTACCGTCTTGCTACTTCTACTTACACTTAGGTCTTACTACATATACATGTACATGTTTATTTATACACACTGTTACACTCCAAGTATTGTAACCACTATTTCCTTCTTTTTAGAGCATAACAATTATGGTCAGAGAGGTTAGGGTAATAATAGTGATCCTCCGGAATGCCTAATTTTAATTAAGTATATTCATAATACAACAAAAGCCAGAAATAATATACGAATTATCGTATATAAGTTAAGAATGCATGTTTGTTCTATATTATCCAAAATATATATATATAAGGCTTTCATAACAGATGATTAGGAGGAGATCCTAGATATAACATATCTAAATGGAGATTACTTTATACATTAAAGTCTTGTTTCCCAATTGGAAGCAGTCAGAATAAAACAGAATATGTCCAGGCCGGCTAATAAACCTTGGCCAGTTACCAGAGACGAGCAGGAGTGTTCTCGTTGGCTGCTACTTCTTCACTGCTCGTCCCTCAACCTTGAGCATACAGGTAAAGTGGGTCACGTGACGTGACTCACCAACACTCAGTAGAGTAGTTGAACATAAAGGGGGGTGGGGGGGAAGGGGGGTATAACCATCGCACATCACGGCTAACTATACACCGGCACACCGGGCGGCAGGCAGGTTACTATACCTCCAATTAAACTTATCATGGCCATGTTACATAAATCATAATTATTAATAAGAATTAGTCTTAATAATACAAGGACGTTCATTTCCAATTTAGCTATTAAAGGAAATAACCGCAATGTAATATTAAAGGAAGGTTAACCATAGGGGCATGACACCCCGGCCCACAAGCAAATATCTCGGCATTTAAGATGCTGATGGTGTAGAAGAAACCAACCAGCTGGTATAGGGATGGAGGTACATCATTCCAAGGTTAGTCATCCACTTGCTAGAACTGGACCAGAAACACTGCTAGACTGCAAAGAATTTCCGTAGTTAGGCAATATATTAGGAGCGAGAGGAGCGAGAGAGAGCATCGGCTAACACGTTGCTCGAACCCTTTATGTGAAAAATGGAGATCCGGTAAGGTTGGATCCTTAAAGCCCAGCGTAATATTCTAACATTTTTTGATTTCATAGAATTTAGGAAAGTTAGAGGATTATGGTCTGAGTAAATATTTATCACATGAGGAGTATAACCGAGGTATACGTCAAAGTGTTCTAAGGACAATACTAAAGCCAGGGCTTCTTTTTCTATGGTTGAATAAGATCTTTGATATTCTTTCAATTTATAGGAAAAATAACATATTGGATGTAGAATATTACCGTTTTGGAAGGATTGCAATAAGACAGCACCTATTGCTGCATCACTGGCATCAACATGGAGGGTGAAAGGAATTTGGAAATTGGGTGCACGCAATACTGGGGTGGAGGAAAGGAAACGTTTTAAACGTTTAAAAGCTTGTTCACAATTCTCGTCCCAATTAAATTTATATTTAGGACTGGTCAATCTAGTAAGGGGGGAGGCAACTTGAGCAAAGTTTGGGCAAAAACGCCTGTAATAAGTAGCCATTCCCAAAAATCGTTGGAGGGCTTTCCTGTCCTGAGGCGTCGGAAAATTTAAAATAGCTTGGACCTTTAATTGGTCGGGGGCTACTAGTCCCTTCCCTATTTTAAAACCGAGATATTTAATCTGGGCTTTACCAAAGTCACATTTTTGTAAATTTACAGTGAAATTGTATTTCTGCAATGCTTTCAGTAGTTGCTCTAATCTTTCTAAATGAGACTGCCAATCATCACTAAAAACCACCAGGTTGTCTAAGTATGCCTCTACACCTTCTAAGGGTTGGACTAAAATGTTCATAATTCTCTGGAAAGTGGAGGCGGCGTTACACAAGCCGAAAGGCATAACCTTATACGTAAATAGTCCGTTCTTAACTACGAACCCGGAAATCTCTTGGGCCCTAGGAGTTAAAGGCACCTGGTAATACCCTCTCAGTAAGTCTAATCTGGTCACAAAGTTGGCACCGGCTACAGCATCTATTAAATCATCAATCCTGGGTAATGGAAACCCATCTGGTTTGGTGACTGAATTTACTTTATGGTAATCCGTGCATAGGCGTACGGTACCATCGGGTTTTGGGACCAATAAACAGGGAGAGGCCCAAGGTGTCCAACTGGGTTCTATCAAATTATATTCCAGTAATGTATTTATTTCTTGTTGAATTAATTCTTGCTTAGCAGGAGAGACCCAGTAAGGGGATTGCTTTATTGGACTATCTTCTAACAATTCAATATCGTGGAAACCCAATGTACAAGGAGTAGGGATATCTTTGAAGATGGAGTTATATTTAGTGATTAACTCTTTGATTTGAGATTTTTGGGAGGTAGGAAGAACTTCCAGGAAATGGTCTAGTTGTTTTAAAACTTCAGAATTATGTAGTCTAAATTCTCTTACTTCCCTTACAGTGTCATTCCTTATTTCAGTGGATGTAGGTTGAATAGAGGTAATAATAGTAGGGAGAAGGCTAGACTCGTACTTCTTTAAGTTATCTATGTGATACCTCTTAATTTTCTTACGACGTCCTGGTTCACGGACCAGATAATTCACCTCATTTTCTTTGTCTACTATTTCATATGGCCCCAAATATCTAGGTTTTAAAGAATGTCCTGGAATTAAGTTTTTAACTAACACTAATTCATTTGGAGAGAATGAACGAGATTTAGCCTTTGGTCGTAAGATTTCTTCATTTTGGCTTTAGCTTCTGTCAGATTCACGGCAGCTAAGCTTTTTAATTTGGAGAGATGTTCTTTCCAAAGTAGAGGACTGGGATGAAGATGTCCTCTCTTCCCTATCCAAGAATCTTGTAATATGGCTAGGGGTCCTCATACCTGATGTCCAAAAATCAAGTCAAATGGAGAGTATTTAGTACTTTCTTGTTCAGCTTCACGGAGGGCGAAGAGAAGAAAGGGTAAACCTTCGTCCCATTCACGAGAATATTGCTCACAGTAAGCACGTAAAGTAGATTTAAGGGTTTGGTGGAATCTTTCTAGCACTCCTTGTGACTGGGGATGATATGCTGTAGAGAGGATCTGTCTTACTCCTAATCGAGACATAGCCTCTTTAAAAACCTTAGACGTAAAATTAGAACCTTGGTCAGATTGAATTTCACGTGTATGCCTACTTGAGCAAAGAAGCGTATTAAAGCTCTTACTATATTTCTGGAATTAATTTTGGACATTGGGATAGCATCAGGATACCGCGTTGCCATATCTATGATAGTGAAGATATACTGGTTACCCCTTTTTGTGCAGGGCAACGGTCCTACACAATCAATAACTAATCTTTCAAAGGTTCTTCAGGACATTTTATTGGAAGTAAAGGGGCAGACGCGGGATTGTGCACCGTTTTGCCTATTATTTGACAAACGTGGCATTTCCGTAGTTTGTCAGCAATATAAGTCCTCATCTGAGGCCAAAAAAAATATTTCCTTATCTTTTTCTCTGTCTTACGAGACCCTAAATGACCTCCCAGTGGATTATCATGTGCTAGTTCAAATACCATATTACGTAAGGACAATGGCACCACTAACAAGTTTCCTTTTGAACTCGAATCATTATCATTATTTCTCTTCCAAAGAAAACCGTCTCGTCTAAAAAGGTAACCTTCCTCTTTATCCTTATTGGTTAAACTTTTATCGTCCTTTAGAGCTATAAGAAATTCTTCTTTATTACATTTTCTAGCTAAGTCCGCAGGGACTGGTAAAACTTTGTCACCTGTGGGTCTCGACTGAATTGCTTCGCTAAACAGGAAGTTCAAACCTAATTCATCGGACATTTCTAAAGGCTGTTGAATATTCACATTTTTAGAGTTCTTTGCCATGGCTCTGGTGATCACATTAAGGGGAAATAAATCTAGCCCTGCCTCAGAGGCTTCTAATGCATAATTTACATCACAAGGATTATCTAAAACCAGAGGCTCTCTGGGTATCTCCAATTGATCAATTTCGTTCCCGATTAATAGATCCACGCCGGCAATGGGAAAAGGTTTATCTGAAAGTCCCACATTGATCCAGCCTACATATCCAGGCAGTTCTACATAAATCCTTATAATAGGGACCTTTATTATTGTGCCTCCGTAAGCCTCTAATAATACGTCTAGCCGGGGTTCATTACTAGTAGGTAACTTTGCCAGGTTTGATCTCGAAAGTATCTCGAAAGATAGTGATATTTACTAACCTCTCTTTACAGAGTCCGAACTTCCCCTGGGAAAAGTAGGGCTCCATAGCTACTCGGACCTTTTCTTCTGAAGCACTGTCGTGGTAAAGTCATTTATTAGACGGTCTGCTAGATGAGGCCTGAAAAGGTAGAGATTCATCATCCAGAGTTTCATACTTCCGAGAGGAATTTATTACCTGGGTAGGATATCTCCCTCTTGGTTGGGTTTTATCTTCCCGCTGTTTATGCCAACACTGGAACTGTCTATGACCTAACTTCTTACAAAAAAGGCACAGTGGTAATTGATCTTTAGGATACTACCTGGAGAAAGAGCCGTTCGTCACCTGTTTTTTTTTTGAAAACACCTTGAAAGGTTTGCCAGCTGGAGCTTTCCTAGTAGTCAATCTTGAACTAAAATCTTGGGAGGTAGATTTCTTTTCCGGGGCCTTAGACATTTCTGTGGTTATAGCATGGGAAATTTCAAAGTGATCTGCGTGGGCAGCAGTATCTAACAAGTTAGTAGTAGGAAATGTCAAAAGATAAGTATGAACCCTCTCTGGAAAATATTTAAAAAGGTCTTCATGCTACATCAGCTGGGAAAGTGACTCGACTGAGGCGGCTCCCGCGGCCCTACGCCAACGCTCGAAAGCAGAGAGCTTTTCCCTGGCAAAGTCCACCCAGTTCTAAACATCTTCAAGTAACTGACAGGTAATAAATCGTAAGCTTTCAGAAGACAATCTTTTACCCGAGTATAATCAGAATATTGTTCAAAAGGTAAGTTTGCAGTTATGGTTTGGGCTTTTCCTATTAAAGGTGAATGTAATAAAGCAGCCCAATATTTAGGAGGCCATTGCATCACCTTCACCTGATTTTCGAATGCCTCGAAAAATGAATCTAAATTATCCTCAGTAAATTTAGGCATCAAAGAGGCTGCTTTACTAAGGTCGAATGAAGGGATTGTATACATATTACTCGATTCTCTTTTCTTCCTCAGTACTTCCCGTTCATAAAGCAAAGATTCACGTTCAAAATTCTCCCTTTTTAATTTTCTCTGGGCTTCTACAAAGGAGGTTTGAAGCGATAAAATACGTTTCTAGACGTTCGAAATTCTCCTTAGATTGAATAGTAGTCAAAAGGGCTAAAGAGATTTGAGGTGGAACGTGTTCATCATCCAATAGAACTTCCTCTTGTTCTGTTTCATAAACATCTGTAAAGGGTTTACCTGGAACCGTTTCTTTAGCCTGATGGAGTTCTGTTCCCCATATAGTCCTTGGAGATGGAATTGGAGTCGTTGTAGCAGCGTAGCGTTTCCGAGTATCGGGAAGGTCGTGTCCGTCGTCTCCAGTAGGGGTTAGCGTCGTAGTTTCGGCCTCGGGTGTCTATAGTAAAGAATTCAAAAAGGAAGGAATATCTGCTTCTCCATTCTCAGTCTCTGGATCCTGCTCATCTGGAAAAAGGACATTCTGTATCATACATCTGACTGTCTGGGCAGTGAAATGCCTGTCGTATTTAATGCCCAAGCTTCGTGCTAATTGCCAACAAGATTGAAGCTTCAAATTCTGTAATCTCTCCTTTGTTATATCTTCAAACCTCTCTTGCCATTTCTACATTCATTTTAAAGGAAATTCAGTGTTATGCTCCCGGACACAGGCCCCCACTATTTCCTTCTTTTTAGAGCATAACAATTTTGGTCAGAGAGGTTAGGGTAATAATAGTGATCCTCCGGAATGCCTAATTTTAATTAAGTATATTCATAATACAACAAAAGCCAGAAATAATATACGAATTATCGTATATAAGTTAAGAATGCATGTTTGTTCTATATTATCCAAAATATATATATAAGGCTTTCATAACAGATGATTAGGAGGAGATCCTAGATATAACATATATAAATGGAGATTACTTTATACATTAAAGTCTTGTTTCCCAATTGGAAGCAGTCAGAATAAAACAG